GAGCATTACTCGGTCTCCAACCTTATAATCCGGTTGTTGTTTGACCTTGGGGTCGTAATATTTGCTCATTGCTTGTCGAGTGAGTTGTAGGGTGTCTCGGGCTTGTTGATGTATTTCCTTCATCCAGTGGGCATAGGTTGTTGCTCCTGGATTCTGTACTTCTCTTTCTTTCATCCATTCCGTTTGTGGATGATAACCGTAGTTGGCGTAGAATGGGGTCAAACTGTGCGCTTGAGTTACCGAGTTGTTGTATGCGTGCTCGGCTAATGGTAGTAGAGAACACCAATCATTTTGATCATAGTTGACGAAACTTCGAAGGTAACCTTCCAGCACTTGGTTGGTTCTTACGGTTTGTCCGTCGGTTTGAGGATGGTAGGCGGTTGACATCCTTCGTTTGATGTCTAGTGATATGCACAGTGATTCCCAGAATTCTCCTGCAAACTTGGCGTCCATGTCCGAAACGATTTCAGTGGGCAACCCATGAAGCTTCCAAACTTCTCATAGGAATGCGGTTGCCACGTCCTTAGCACTAGCGGTGGTTGGTAATGGTATAAAGTGGGCCATTTTGGTGAATCGGTCGACTACAACCATAATCTGGGTGTTGTCGTTCGATGGAGAAAGTTGCGTGATAAAGTCCGTGGAAATCGAGCTCCAGGTTGCGAAAGGTATTTGTAACGGTTGTAAGAAACCGTACTTGGCGTGTCTTAGGGCCTTACTATGTTGGCATTCGTCACATGACCGAACATAGTCGTTGACCCAGTCACTTAATCCTTTCCAATGAAAATCTCGCGTAATGATTTCTAGGGTCTTTTCTTGTCCGAAGTGTCCAGCTACTTTGGAGTCGTGACAGCTTTTCGCGATTAAGGTACGTAGTTCCTCTGATGCTGGTACGTACAGCCTATTTTTGAAATAGATGAGCCCATCTTTAGTTGACCAGTGCTTAGGCCATTGTGCGTTATCGTTTCTTAATCTTTCCAATTCCTTCCTTCTGGATTCCCAGTCCTCGTCCTCTTCTCCTACCTTTTTTACCGATGATGTGAACTCGTCATGGAACTTCTTGGGGTTTGCATTTAGCACTACCCTAGTTGCCATGACCACTGATTCTTTATGCAGCTGGTCGTGAGTTTCTTTATCGGTTAAATCAAAGTGTTGGTTGAGGTTTGAGTCCTCGTTTAGGAAGTTGATACGAGGTGGGGTCTCAGTTAATCCAGTTCCTGTGCTCCCGAATCCTTGTTCTCCTCGCTCCGTGTCATCCAACTCCATTTCTTCTTTAAGTTCACCAATATGAATCTTTTCTAAGATTAACTGGGCAATCTTCGTGCCAGCTTGCGCTTTGTAGTCTTCCC